AGGACTCAGTCCGTCTCTCGGGCCTTGCGCCTGATCATAAATTTTCGCACAAAAACTGCGTCGTTCGATGTCGCAATGTCAAGGTAATTCAGCAGAGCGTTTTTACAAGTTCACGAAATAAAGAAAAAAACAGACGAACGCTTCGCGCTAGACATTTGATTGTCGAGGTGGAGTGTGTGTCGGTATCAGGATCGGATCTCACGCAGAATCGCGGTGTTTACATTTTTCTCCCTTTTATCAAAGACTTTTTAAACTTTTCCGAAATATCGGCAGACTAGGCGACCCTCAAGGCCGTCCTTGTAGACAGTTCCGGGCCTTCGTTTCAGTTCTGGACGGATCATCGAAAATAACAAACGAATGCAGGTTTCTGTGTGTGACGAACAACAATACAGGCGATTTGCCTTTAGTAGGGAATAGAATCTTATGCAGTAACTCACCGATAGAGAGGGCAATCATCGGTTTCTCAGGATTTGGCTCCAGACGAAGGTTTTCGACGATGCTGCGAATTGGATTGTGCGTGTTCTGGGCCGTACTCGACGACGCCACCTCCCACTGCCTTCTAACTGTTGACGGAGACATGGCGACCCACAAGAAATCTTCCTGCGTCTCTGCTGCCCACCGATCGGTGATGACGGAACCTCAACTAATCTCCAAAGATTCCTCAGTAGCCTTCGATTATGTGGAAACACCTGATTCTGATCCTTGAAGTTTCCAGCAGCTCTGATATATACCTTTATGGTAGGCAGAAGCTGAAATACCATTGGCTCAAGGAGGGGGCAAAGAAACCGGTTGTTGTTTCCCATTTGTCGATTGGTGAACACACCTTCTGTTTCGTGCGGAAGGAATGTGTAACACCTACGTCATTAGCCTTGTAGCCCTGTCGTAAGCGTGTCTAATCATTCGAAGATCGTCTGAAAAATCTGAGATAGCCTTTGACACTGGAACGCTGGGGGTCAGGGGTTAGGCTGTCCGAGTCTTCCATTTGTTCTGTCCTGTGGACTGATCCTGCTTCTAACTATTCCTACCGAAGGGTTGCAAAAGCTGGAGAGAAAATTCTCCAGAGACGCCATGGTCCAAGCCTCAAGGCTCTACAGTAGCAGAAATGTAATAAATCTCTTGTTCTTTGGTGTCAGATTCTGGACCCAAGTTCAGATGAGTGCTTTAGAGTGAAATACAGAAAGCATTTGTAGATGTTAATGGAAAACCAGGCTTTACGGTTCTACGTAATACGCAAGTTTATGCGTGTACAAAGACTCGCCTGTATTTAAGCTGTTCTTATTCAAGGCGCGATGCTATTTACTCATCCGTGGCGACATTAATTGGTCATTCCTCTACGATACCAGGTTGTAAAATTATTCACTGCTGATTTGTGGATGAGGGGGGAATTTTGTAAGCTGGATAGTAGATAACTTTTCAACCAACTGAGGTCTTAGCAGTGGTTGTTCCAGCAAGATCGTTTCGTAGTAGCTTACAACAAATGCCGGTAGATGGTAGCGCAATATATGCATGACGTCGTATGCCTCTACGTTGCAAATCGAATACCGCCTTTATATTGGAAGATGGACTATAGCACATCCATCATCAGGGCGATGACTGATTGCTGTTATAATGGAGACAACACAGCATCAACCTCCTCAAATCCTACTTATCTTAATATTTTATACTCTATGATACACTATGGGTCCGGCTTCTCATCATTCTACCATAGGATCTGTTAGAGCATGCTAACGATGGCCTGTCTCATTACAGCAATGAACAATAATCTTGTACCACGGATTAGAACGCATCCATACACTGCATATTGTGCTCATTTTATCTTCTATTATTCTGACAGAAAATCGTAATGTACACGTATGTGAAAGTGCACATTTTCAGGAAACCCAGGAATGGAAGACCCTTCCGTTGATATTGTGGTGTTCAGTGCCTTGCCGCATGGGTAGCGTTCCATTTTCATAAGACTAGAGCAGAGCGATCCTTTCGGAGCGCTTTCTCTAGAGTCGTTCCTCTCGGAGCTCCTTTCGTCTATCAAGGTTATTCGGGGGATTGGTTGCGTTTCAAAATCTTAAGTAAGAAACTAAACTAACCCCCCGGATGGAGGGTTAAAACACTTGAGCAACCCCCCACCCCCCCACCACCCCGGTGATGTTTTAGGCCAAATGTCAATAAATTTTCAAGAATGCGATGTGCTGCTTCTGGAGCAGTGATCATGCGACTAGCTTGATAGTTTTTGATCTCTTTGTTGTGAAGCGTTATTTGTTTACTCACAACAATGCCGGGTATAAACAAATATAAGGTGACATTGTTGATGACGTCATTTTTTGACGACGACAAATCACAAATTTCTATAGTAGGGATTGAGTGTAGTGTTCTGTGACGTCACATTTACGCAAGTAGAAAATTACGTGAATGGTGTCTAACCTATTCGTGTCTTTAAGAAGTAGGATTTGCAAATGTGTTCGTAATTGGAAAGGAGACCTTATTTGTTTGTTTAAAAAATGACAACAGCAAGAGTAAATCATAGGAAGTATAAGTGGGCATTAGAATCTGGTGTGAGGTAAAGTTTTAATGATAATAATTGCTTTAGTTTCACCATCTACGAACGCTGATTAACATTTTGATTCGCCTATCCAGAAATTATTACAGTTCGATATAGCGTTTGTGTTTCGAATTTAACGGAGGTTGCCATGTACATAACACCATGTGCTTTAGAAAAATTGCCGCAACTAAAAATAAGGATGGAGCTTGCATTTTCGTGAATCGAGAAAGTAACTTTGAGTGTTTAAATTTATATCCTTATTACATTCCATGTATCCATAAGTTGGTCAGTTGTGGAATAAGCCATAATAATCCAATAACATTTTACAATTAATAAATTATTATTCTGCCCTTGGGTCATAGATGATCTTAATTTCTGTTAATACATACCATTCAAGATGTATGGAAACTTCTTTGCTGAAGTGCTGCTCATTTTTGTAGTTATTGAACAAATTCCAACAAGAATGAAAGAGCTAGACCCTTTCCAACATGCCTCATTCTATAATTTGACTGAATTTTTCATATTTGGTTTTTGGATATGAATAGTGCGTGGGGCGGTTATGTGTTCAAAAAAAATTGTGCGTTGTGAAAATTATTTGAACTGTTATTCATGTGTAATTTACATCCATATATCTGTAAAATCTGAAATTCTGGGTGTATGTGTCAGTGCTTATCAAGGATCTGTTATATCAGTGCAGTCCTGTAATCTTCCCTCAGAACAGTCCACCTTTTTTTTTCATTTTTGCCAGATCATAGTGAAACTGGATATTGGTTTGTGTTGTGGCCTTACTGATACTAAAAGCCAATCAGAATTTAAATTGTTAGGCCTGTCTGTATACCTTCTTTTCTGCGTTGTTATACTACATAATGTAAGTAACTTGCTTGTTCCAGCATGAATCTTCAAACTGAAGCTTGGGTAAAATGAACATCTTCACATGGACCAGAAAGAGGATGTCATGTGAATAGTGACAATGATTGGGAGAATTCCTTTTTTGTTTTTAAATATATTAGTCACTGGGAACATAAATATGTATTGTAGCTTGTTCAAACAGTTCTTCATAAATTCTGCATTAATGTAATTACTGTTTTCTTACTCAAGAGTAAGAGCATGGAACAGTTTGTTGGTTCGTCACAGTTAAGATATATACCCGTAACTTCTAGTTGATTAAAAAGCATAAGAACCAAGCCTGCACTTTTCTCGTGTGTGTAATCCAGGAACTTTTATAGGTGTACTTTTATGTTTGCTGAAATGTGTGGGGGATAAACAGCTTGTTTTTTTTATTTTAGTAATTGTTATAAATAGCACAATCTGAAACTTGTTGTTAGGTATGATATTTATTTGGTACATGAAGATGATGTGAAATGAAGACACATTCCTATTACTTTATTCTTTTCAGGAGTAAACAAGACCGAAGTTCTGATTTAGCTTCTCCTCCTGGTTACAACCCATCAGCTGGTCAGGTTTACACTGAAGTCGCTAGGGAGTCTGATCCCAGTCATCTCATTATAAAGAAATCATGGGAACTTGCCCTTGGTCCTCTGAAACAGGTATGGAACTTCAACTTCTTGACACCGATGTTAGGTCTCAGTTTAAATTGTGCTGTTGTGTGATATGCATAGTGTTCCAGAGAGATGTGCTGACTGTAACAGAGGCAAACTTCATGTTATGTGCCGTCTCTAGGAATTTTTATATTGCAATAATTGATTTTGAGACCCCCTTACCTAGTACATTTTGAGGTTCCCTGCAATTTCTGATTTAGTGGGCCCCTTACATAATAAATGTTTAGGCCTCCTGCAATAATTGATTTAAGGCCCTACTTATTTAATAAATGTTGAGGCCCCCTGCAGCTAATTTCATAGGGAAATTATTGTGTTTCTATGCCTGTGTAGGTGGTTCATTTTTTTATGAAGTTTACTAATTGGTCTTTGAAGATTCTATTTGTCCCTCATTCTGACCGCAGTTCATGGTATTTAAGCAACTGTCGGCTTCACAAATACAGAAGTCTTAAGCTGAATATCCCAATATTTTCAACGAGAAGGTGTATAAGCACTCGGCAACCATACTGGCACCTCTCATTCTGTACATCATGAATTCTCTCCTCCACAAATAGTTATTTCTTGCATCCAATTCACCTTACAGGTGCCAATGAATCTCTTCATAATGTACATGGCTGGCAACTCCATTTCCATCTTCCCAATAATGATGGTAGGAATGCTTATTGTACGACCAGTGAAGGCTTTGTTCACAATGCAGAATAGTAAGTACTTTTATTGCAGAAATGGGTTCTTTATAATGTACTGGCAATGATGTAGACAAATGGTTTAATCTGATGAAAGTATATCCGTTGCTTAAATGTGTGGTAACAAAGTTGAATTTCAGTATTAACCAAAAAACGTCAGTTTGTAAATCAGTAAAAAGTAGAAAAGCATTGCTTCCCTTGTTTTTACTCACTTAAAAGAACTTTTATCATGTATACTTTTCCAGAAGGTTTAATGTTAAGATGCATGAAACTTCTTGTACCAGTTAGCAATAGAGGACGTTGGGCTTTTTCCATCGTCAAGTATTTTTAAGAGATATTTTCTGTAATATTGTGTTCTTATAAGAAAACTAAATGATGGCCAGAGACCCAGTAACACTGTGTCCTGTGCTCTCATCTGAACCATTCAGAATTGATCTGTACCGGCTGCAGGTACTTGAAAGGAGGGCCACAAATTGTGTGCGGCATTTCGGAGTACTATCAATATTTAAGGTGACTGCAGTACAGAAAATTGATTTGAAAATACATATTTTTTTGCAGTAATTTTATTTTTGGCATGATAAAGTGGAGGCAAGATGTCATCTTCAAAGACTTAGGCATTTGTATATTATATTTAGGTGACCTGAAGGGAAAATACTTTGTATTGTTTATTGACAATCTTAATCCAGTTATGCATCTTTCTTAGGCCTACCTTATAGAACCATTTTAGTGATTTAACATGTATTCAGTTAAACTTGGCCACTGTGTACTGACAGCGGTAACCCAGAGTCACTTGATTACATTAATAGAGAAGAAGTCTACTCTATTGCTTATTTTTCTTTCAGCTTTCAAGATTATTGAAGGGAGCCATGCTGTAGGACAGAAATTTGTATATTTTTTGGGAAATGTTGTGAGCGTAGCTTTAGCACTGTATAAATTTCATTCCATGGGTCTTCTGCCTTCGCATTCATCCGACTGGCTGGCCTTTGTCGAGCCACAGATGAGAGTAGAATATTCTGGCGGAGGGATATCACTTCTATAGGAACCATACGAGGGAACTTGGTTTAATAACACAATTCTTCCACTGGAAACTAGTGGAATAAACACCATCTTTTTAATATTCAGTTGAAATGAAGAATGTGCCTGTTGAGGATTGTCTCGACCATCAAAAGGACAGCCTTCCATAGAATGAAATAAAAGTGGAAAACTTTTGGCTGTCTGAATGTTATATCTTGTATATTTGTTCTATTAATTCACTGTTATGTAATAAAATACATATGTATCTTCTGTTTATGGTGGGAGAATGGAGTTCAGCATCTGCAGTATTTAATTAAATACAACACTTCTGAGTAAAAATTACAACACAACACAATTTTTCAAATGACTCTGATCCAACTCCCTCTTCCGTACAACCCTGATGAAATAATAAATACAACACTTAAGATAATGGCAAAGTAGTTTTGGTTCCCAACATACAGTACAGAGCTTTATAATACACAAAGGGTACAAATCATGTTTACATATTGTTACAGAATGTTCATATAGCATTAAAATTCTTAAAATTTCACTACATCGTCTTAGTTTAACGGCAAGTTACTTCGTGGCTTCTTCTTTAGATGTTTTATGACAGAAAGTGGAACTCACTTCACTGCTGCCATTCATGTTGACCTGTGAATAAATAAATCATATTTAAAAATACATTTCTTCATAGCCAGTATTTTTAAAGGCAGAGTAAATGTAAATTAGATCCACATGTGAAATTCTGATACTTCTTTCCGAAACACTGAATCTCCAAAACTTATTAGATTTATTTTATTGAATGGTGTGGTTACAAGAAATGATGATTATTAGATGGTAGATTTGGTAGATTGTACATTTTTATGTGACGAGAGCATACATTTTTTGAGATGCTTCTGGAATGATGCTTGCCTTAAGTGATGGCTTGCATAATTGCAAATCTTGTTACAATGATGAAAAGACAAATGAAAAACCTTTAAGAAGGCAGCAAATAGAAAATACAGAGAATAGCCAGGAAACCAAAGATTGTGATATTTGTATTTCATTACATACAGTGAGTAATAATACAAGGTTTCTTTATTAAAAAATTTCATCATTTATATGCTAACTTAAGCATTTCCTGATACTTTTCAGTTTAGGGCTAAAATAGGTTGTTCTCAAGGTGGATATTGCGCACTAAAAATTGTAATTAACAATATGTTGATTTTCATATCTGATATTTCAAAAATGTTAGCATAAAAATAATTGAACGTGTACACCAGGACTTTGCCGATGTCTAATGTTGTGTATTTTCTGTTCTTTGGATTCTTTCCTGTGAATGGCAGGAAATCCTCTTGACAGAAAGGGTTGCACACAGACTGAAGCAATCATTCCAGTTATGAGGTCTGGTACTGTCTCCCTGAATCAAGTCAGTACCAATATAAGTATCACAATTTATGGTACCATAAAGGAAATTAGGACTGAACACTGTGACAGTAGGTAACACATGCCAGCCTGAGACTTCCGCAGTTGTGATGTGAGGAATCTCTGTAGCCCAAATAAAATATTGTACTTTGTTTATAAGCATGTCCCTCGAAAGGAAAACAGTCTTAATCATGAAGCCATGTAATGTTAACCAGTCTGGATTGTTAGTGATCTCAATATTCATTTGCAAAATTGCGATGCAACATTTTTAGCCTACGTTCCTCGAGGGAAAAAGTAGGCTTACAAAATCACACTGTTTTTGCTTGTACCCGTCAACTTTTGAATAGACTGATCCATTTTAATGAAATCTGGTTTGAATATTATGTCGCGCATGAGGTGGGAGTGACACCACTGTCACTCACTGTGTGGTTCTTTAAAAAATGCAACTTTGTTGAGGTAATTGTTTTGTAGAACATAAAACACCATTGCAGCCTGAAAAAGTTTCATTAGGTATCATTTTGACAGCAATAATTATGAACTTCTGGAATAAAGCATGAAATTGTGTATGAAGATATCAACATTCCTACAAATATTCTTTACAATTCAGCATTTAACAAACATGGTGATGGTGCAAAATGATAAGGTCATATCTGACAAACTTAATGAAGACAGAATCTGCAGACCTACTTTGTTCTGACTTAGGATTTGATCCTGTGACCACCTACGCACAAGCCTGGCATGCTAACCCATAAGCTAAATTGCATGTTTTTATTTTCTTCTAAACTTACATACAACACACAGATTTGTTTGACTGGAAGCATGTGAAATATAAAAGTAGGGTCTATGAATTCTACCTGGAAGTCTTGTTTTGTTCTTACATTCTGTACACTGTATGAGGAAGTAGGAATAATTTAGTATTTGTTCCTTGCACTGCACCGAGTACAGCGAGGTATCGTACAATAAACAACGCTGAAGCAATTTAATTATTTCAGTAGTTTACTTTCAGGAAAAGCCTGTGTGAATGTAGGCTCTTTTCAATAACATTGTTTTGTAAAGTGATGTATATGACTGTCAAATAAATGGGTAAAATTTATTTCCAATTAGTGTTTTATAGTGAAAAACCTTGGAAACCATTATTATGTAAAACTGAGTCAATTTAATCTATAATCGAGTCCAGAGGCAATACTTTCCAGTGAATTGCGATATCTACAAGTACATGTGTGTAGATATCCAAATTACCTGAACATTCACTCTCCATTTAAGGTATCCACATACTATAATTTTAAATACATAAATAAATGTATCTGCAACACTACAGAAACATTATACCATCAGTGCTGCATAATAAATGCCTTGGAACATACTGTGATTTAAGGTTAACACACAACGTTTTAATCATGTTAAGTAGTTTATTGTATCAACTTCTTATTTCACGTACATGTAATAACACATACAAATTATGCTAAGTAACAAATAATAGGCAGTCTCTAAAATAAGTTTTGTATAAGCCTGAAGATGGCGCATATATGGCTGAAACATGTTACTAACTACTTACATTAACAATATTTAAAATAAATGCATTATTAATGATTGGCATTGTGTGTGACAGAAAAGACTCTAAATTTACAGGTCAGTGTTATAGTACAAATAGAATAACAACTAAGAGCATGTATTCCAACTGAAATACATTTTGAAAGTCTCAGAGACATAATTCCAGCAGTAATTTCTTTGGACATAAGCCAATACCCTTTTCAATCTCTCTCTTTTATTTTCACAGTCTTTGGGTAACTTTTCCACACAAAATGAAAATCGGAAAATGAATGCGAGACTTCAGGTTCTCACAGTGGTAGATATGATGATGGCTGTTGCGCTGTGTAGTCTGGTAGAAGTTTACCGACATTTCAAAAGTACTTGCTCTGATGGTGGCAGCAGCATGTACTTCTGAAATGTCGGTAAACTTTTACCATACTCAGTGCAACAACTGTGAAGACGGCCACCTTCAGGAAATGAATGTATAAGGTTACCGATAATTCATCCTGTGACACGAAACATTGTGGGTAACCATCAGCGGTTTCCTTGATTACAGTACCACGTATAACTTCAGCTTTTGGACGAGAGCTGTGTCGAGTGTTTGGTGTTAACCAATGTTTTGGCAAACATTGCAGTTGCCACTTTCAAACATTCAACATGGTTCTTACCCGGAACCCAAAATTATACACTGAACTCCGGTTGCAAAAACCTATGGACAAGAATTATACAGTACCTGTTGTTCATATACAGATGGTGTCAGTTTCAGCTATTTATCCTTTTTGTGTTTATTAGCAAAGTCCTTTATCTTTTCCCAAAGCTGCGATGGTTCATCAACTCTAGGAATCTAAAATGTATTGTACCCATGAATATTAGTCCTGTGGAATGCATGTGGTTAGAATAAAGATGGAGAATAAAGTTCACTGACAACTATGATTCACAGTTCAATGACCATAAAGTTTATAAGCATACAAATATAACTTTTAAGTATGCAATGGGCAAATTCCATAAAAAAAAATTTGATGAAGAAACAAATACCTACAAATCTTGTTATAATAAACACACAATCATAGTGAACAGATTATGTTGACAATAATTACCTCATAATTTTGACTGAGATAGATTCCTGCATACACTCCTGTTCCGAATGTTATCTGTAAACAATAATTAAATAAAAAAGTTCAGTTCAGTCTCTTTAGCAGCACAAGGTGATGACTCTCACTAAGCAGGCATGTAACATGCAAATATATGGATAAAATGAAGGAAAAATGTTGTAAGCCCACGATGTATTTTTATTAAATTATGATTTACAACATACACAGTAAGTCCGTTCATAACCGGTTACACGAGAATACATACTAGTATTCATATCTTACCAGAAATTTAAACATTGTACTAAATTTTAAAAATGTAATTATTTGTATCGTTAGCAATCACTAACAAATCTATTCACACCACGACCGCAATCATAGACACGATATTACATCAGCTACGTAGGCTACAGCCATGTTAGTTATCCCTGAGCGCATGCTATGTTGTACAACAGAAGACAGCTGACAGATTGCAAAACGCGTTAGTAATGCGGCACATCGCGTAGGTTACAAATGTTTTTGAGGTAATCCGTGGTGTAAGGAAACAATTTCGCCGACGATTTCGTGTCTAGCTTCATAGAATCATCTGTGCCAGTTGACCTTGACTTCACCGTGGAAACTTCAAAACATGTTTAAATTTTTCTGACTAGCGTCTATTTCTTCAATGTAAAGTGTTGCCCAGAGGATAGCATGTGCAGTGATTTTTTTGGCTTTTGAATATGTTTTAAAGAAAAATTTGCAAGCTCATTATTTTATATTGCCAATGGTCATCTCTGATATAGTGGTCTTGAAGGTGAGGGAGGTGTACTTTATTATTACATGTTGCTGTAGGTGCACCATTGCCTAGAAGACATTATGGTGATTTAGATCTGTTTAATGGAGTTTAATTTGTTATTTGTGTGTTCTATATCAGCAGAGATGGAAATTTGGGCCTAAGAGCTAATACGTTGCGTCTACGTGACAGCACTCATCTCATTGATGGAGAGGTTATGTGCTAAAAAATGGTGCGTACATTCTAGATGTTTGAAGTCACTTATTCCAACAGTTTGTTGGAGAGGTAGTGTAGCATACTGACGTGTTTTTTCTTGTTTTCGTTTTTATCACATTTCACTCACTTGGTTTACTGTCTAGGATTTGAGGTTTTCACGTCTGTGAATCCGATGATGGCTGCCTTCTGGGTTGTTGCGTTGTGTAATCTGGTAGAAGTTAATCAACGTTTCAGAGGTTCTTGCAGCTTCCATCATCAGGGCGATGAGTAATCAGCCTGATGATGGAGGCAGCAAGGACCTCCGAAACGTTGATTAACTTCTACCAGATTACACAACGCAACAACCCAGAAGGCAGCCATCTTCAGTTTGCTGCCCATGTACTAGAACATGTTTCGGTTTTGTGTGACCATCATCAGGTTCTGTACCCTGCTCTTATGTTTTTGTACTGGGGATAGTATTTTCTCCTCCCATTGTCAACTATGATAAAATGATATGTTAGAACGTTATTAATTCGCTAAAGAGGTTAAAACGTTAAGAGGTTTATAATAGATGTGTTATGTGCAAAGTGATGAACAAGAAAAAACCACTAATGTGTTATTACCTTTCTGGTACAAAGGCTGTTAATCTCAGTGGTGCAACATAATGCAGTTTTAACATAACTTTAATACTCTATCTGGATTTTTTGGCCCTGTCCATTGTCTGATGTTGCAACATTATATTGTATTACACTCTAATTAGGTACATGCATTATAATGCGTATATTACATCATCTCCTGTTTAAATATGCGATTTATAGGATGGTGAGGAGCTGATTTACATGTATTAATATTGTTGTTACTTTGCAGGTTAGAATCTCAGAAGTTCAGACATATGCTGATGCAGTGTGCTATCGTTGGGGCTTTGCCAAGACTCTGTAGGTTCCTTAGTTCAGCTGAAGTGTCAACAGCACTGAGGCCATTTTATTTTTCCGTTCATCCAGACCTGTTTGGACGATATCCTACTGAAAGGGTGGGTTCTGTGTTTGATTAGGTTATGAGTATTAGTACTGTAAGGAAATAAAAACATGGATGAGTAAAATACTTCAATAGAATTTATGGGTTAGGTGGGCTGTCCTTTGATTCATATTGACATAAAACAGTATGTTTCAGTAGGTTTTTTATGAAGGATAATAATCATAAATAAACCGTGTTTATCGATGGTTTGTGAGGGTTAGGTAATTTGGAACAGTTTGCCTTAGGCCTAGTAATTGTAAATCAAACATGTCAAATAATTTTGACAGTAGTATACATTATGGTAGGGTTATGTTACATATTTGTATTCTTTAATTATCTTTCAGACTGTTAATGAAAATTCTTTAAAACAGTTGAGCTCCTACATTGAAACTTTACAGAAGAATCGCCCCACGCTGCCAACAACCATCACTTTCTATCTAAGGAACCAGAAAGAGTCACATAGTATTAATGATAAAGGTAATTTTTATGAAGTTTTGTTACCTGTCAACAGCTAGGAATATTATAATAAGACATTTATGCATGTGCTGTAATAAATATGTTCTTTCTTCTTGTAAATGTATTAAATGTTTAGGTATGGCACGTGGTAATTCTGTGAATTAACCATATACCAAATATTTTCTCGTTTTCCATTTCCAGGAGCATTTCGGTCAGTGAGAATTAGCCTAGTGCAGCGAGATTTAAGAAAAACTGTATTGTCAATTTTGAAGACTTGCGATTTACCAACAACTTACGTGGATAATATTGAACCACCCCCAGAGAAGTCAAGATTTGAGGGATTAGACGTGAAGGAGGCACAGTTTGATGAAAATGACCCAGTGTACGGGAGTGTTATTTTGAAACAGAAGATAAAGAAATCTAAAGAATCTGAAAAATTAACGTAAGTTGCACGGGGTATTAAAACATTCAGATAATTAATTTGACTTCATTCGAATTCTTCTGTCAGCGTTGAGGCTACAGGTGTTATGCCGCTTGACATCAGTAGTATTGGATATAAAATGCTTTTAATGTTTCCTAGAAAATTAGTCATTCAGGCATATATAGTTCTGAAAGTAAACCAAGAATTTGCTACTTTCATATCAACATCACGCTGATAATTGGACATTAATCCGCTATCCAATTTGCGTGTTACGATTCAGAGAACAGTGTATATTCTGTACTGTTACAGTTTCATCTCTCTTGTACCGTAGGATCTGGCTGGAGAGTAATGTGAGTGAGGCACTGAAGAAGCTTGCGGCCTGCCAGCCAGTGCGAGAGGAAATTGTGCGGTTACAGAATATTCTGTGTGACACATTTGGTGTTGAGAGTGTGGTTTGGGATTGTGGTTGGAATGTCACACATTTCCGTGGCTGTCTGCTAAGTTTCCAAGCCCTGGCTCGTCATCACCCAGACGTCATGCATACCTTACAAGGTGACTAATTAGAATTTGTCAGTATCATTGATGTGAATGCAAACTTGTTCAAAATATGTGTGCATGGTATAGGAAGTCAGACAGTTAAATAAATTACTGAAGTTTTTCACTGCAGCTGATAACTCTTGTAAGTTGGAACGCGTTGTTTCATGTTAGGCGTTGAATGCGGTTACTCTTAGAAGTGATGTTTTACACTGGGGAATACACATCGTTACATGTGTACTGGAATGGCTGCAGTCTCCTGGTGAATGTTTTCCTGTATGTTGTTGATGTTGTGAGGATTGTTTGCACAGACGTTTCCCTCCAGTAAGCCCCACAGAATGAAGCATGATGGAGTCAAATCTGGTCACTTTGTCAGCCAGAGATATTTTGAGACAACCGTGCCTCCAGAAATGCTTTAAATTTCCCTCGAGCTTGATTGTGCATGTGACATGTTGCCCATCTTGATTTAAGTAGCCAGGAGTTAGATTCTCATTACTCAACATATTTGCAAATATATTAAAGATAATGAGGGCAAATCTCTGTGCTTATGGTTTGGTAAAAGAAAACAATTCAGTGGTTTGTCATGGATTGCGTTTGTATTTTTAAGTGCCCAGAATTGTGTTTTGTGATTTTATGTATGTAGTGAGACGAAACCACGCTGCTTCTGTAAACCGTGTTAGATCCAGAATCGCAGGCTGTCACACCATTAATTGTTTAAACTTTTTTTAAATGTCCTGTGCATTGTCATTTGCCAGTGTGTGATAACAGTCAGTGCGCGCTTTTTTGCCTGGTGCGTCTTCCTGTGAGAAGATTGGAACGGAGACTTCTTGCTGCACAGTTCCTGTGACATTTGATCACCATTGGTGATAAAATAGTGGTTTATTGATGATTGTAAGTGGCCCGTGTCACGAGGGGATCATCCCGTTTTTTCCGCTCACTCAGCTTCGCTTACTGTTGCCAGCCGCTGCTTAAGTACGTGAAAGCACGCTGATAAAATGTTTGTATTCTACTTTGTATCTCTTTCAGGGAGGAAACTGATTTTTGCAAATGACACAGGAGTCAATTTGGATGGTCATGTGATGCTAAACAGTGGTGAAGTGAGGCATAATTGGCTTGATGTAAGTCTGTTGTGGTACTTTAATCAAATGATGCTGAATAGTGCGTGTCAACCAAGTTTACTCTGAAATGATGTTTTTAAATACTGCAGATCATATAGTGCTGATCCTCTGCCATTCTGCTGATGAGTACAGCTTGTACCGTGTGCAAGCTGCACCCATATTGTTAGACTGAAAATTTAAAGTCAGATGTGCTTCCAGAGTTCTGACAGTTAAGTGACCTGTTTAATTCAGTGAATAGAAAGACAAAATATTATTATATTCATGCGTGTATTATCACTAACGTTTGTTCATTGTGGTCACTTTCAAAGTACTTACATTCTAACTTCATACACACATCCTGTTGTCTGTAATATGTGCTGAAAGTCCTTTTGATACTGTTGCCGAATTGTTATGTCCTCTAAGGGATTTCAAGGGAGTATTTTAGTTTTGGGGATATAAAAGCAGTGTATTAAGTCAAATGAGACGACTATGTTCGATGGGATTTGATGTTTTCATGGCACTGAGTCTGAAGATGGCTGTCTTCTATCATCTGGGCAATGATGATGGAGGCAATAAGGACCCTTGACACAGTGCTACAACCGAGAAGTCAGCCTTCTTAAGCGTATTTTACGTTCCGTCATCGGTTTCTTCTCTTTTACGTTTTATTTTATTTCCCTGCCTACCTCCTAGTTATTGCTGTTCTGAAAGGAGTGTGAAGGAAGCAATGTCATGATGCAAAATCTACTTTTCCACCCAAAGATGTGTCCTTTCATGTCCCAAAAGTTGAAAGTTGAATGCATGATGAACAAATTCTTAATGGAAATGTTCTTTGATATAAAAAAAAGCCAGGCCAGGAAGGTTTAGACTTTTGATATTGATGTTCACACTTTTTTTTAAAACTTGGACTTCTGCTGGCAATTTTGGTGCATTCTTTACATAGAGGCGCCAAGTCTCATTACCAACAGTCATTTTTATCTCCAAGGGTCAGGTTTCTCCAGCAGTCTTGCTGGAAGGTCTGATCAGATTTATTTTCTCATGTTTTTGACAAACAAAACACTGCACCAATCAGACACTTTAAACAAAAAGAAACAGAATTCCGACAACTCTTTGACACAAAGCTACTGAATCATGTGGGCTCACGATCCTGTAAATGCCTTCTCAGGGGAGCCGTCGGTTGCTGCAGAAAAACATCAGTATCGTTACTTAACTGTTACACCTTGCTTTTCCAGTGTCTTCATCATTGTCAAAAAGATTTTTAAATATACTGAAACAAATGAGTATTTATGTTTTATTATTGTTGCAGTTAATAAAAAATGTTCACAAACAAGATGCCGTACTTTTTCGAATTCCATCATTTGAAAGAGCCGTGTCGAGAGTTCTGCGTGATATTAAAGTGGTTCGCAGGTAATTAACTTGGTTGTATTAAGGAATTAAGACAAACCCATTGAAGTATCAGCAGCATATGTATGAAATTGTGCATTACATACCACAAGCGACAAATGGAACAAGATTGTGAAAGCATTTGCTGTACACTGAGCACGCACGTTTGTATTCATGCTCTTATGTAAAGGGGTCAATAAAATTGTCGGACACAAGTGAGAATTGAAGTGGCTCGATTTTTTGTAAAGTTCTCCGACATCCAATTTTATCTTCATTCTCTTTTCGCATTGTATGCGCAGTCACACTTTGTGCTGCTAAAGCATTAACCACAGAGTTAACGTCTGGCCAGCTGCTGCCTTGTCCTTATGAGGTACTACTTTACTCTCATGTTGAAGGCTAATCAAAATTGTTTAATCTGTTCTTGCTTCATGCACAGGAATGGGGAGAATGATTTTAATAGGCACTGCTCTGAAATGTGTAAACCTACAAAGTAGAATTGTAGTTTGTAGACTTATTGACTTATTTTCTGGTTTCTTACATCTAGAAGTTTAAATGGTAATATTCCTCGTGAAACAGGAAAGTCAGGTTATTTTGTTATAAGCAACATGTGCATGGAACATTGCAGCTCAGTGTTACTGTTTTCCCAACCCACTGCGCAGTGAGTCACTCTAAAGTTACTGCTGTTGAGTGAAGATGTCAGGTTGACTTGACACAAACTGTTCCAGTGATTACTTTTCCATGACATACGTAGATGAATGTGGGACAGAAATTATAATGTGGGTTTTGTTGTTAACACCAGTCTGAGTAAGTTTTGGAACGGGATATCGCGTGTTTTATTACTGTCTGTACGATTCAAAATAATACGGTATTAACTGTGAGTGAGTGGCATCTGTTGTTTTAACCAAAATGGAGCATTTTGTTAAGTTTGTGTTCTCTTGTGTATTAGCTTTACCATGTCTGTCTGTATGTAACAGCTTGGGAACTACTGAACAGGTTTTCATGAAATTTGATGTTGATAAGTTTTCTAAAATTTTGGTGTAAATTGGACAGCAAAGGATCTGCAACACAAGAATTGAAATGTGTGCATAGGTGATGGTTGGGAATCTGCAGCCATTCGGGCACATCTCAGCTACTTAGGGCATTGCTGATGGCATTGTCAAAGGTTAGACGTGCTTAAACTATTGCATTATGCATACATTTTCTTACTTGTTTTCTGGCCTTGGTCCAAAATTGTAGCTGAACTGTGACAGTAGAAAATAAATAATGTGATGATATTCAGTAGTGGCATTGGTTTGGTTCCTTGTAGGAAGTTTCAGCCCAAAGTTATGGCCAAACAGTATGAGAACCAGCTGCGGCGTTTAACGACATCACTTAGTGATCATCAGGGATCCACGGGCTATCCAAAGGACTGGCCACTCAGTTTGAGTGATTTTGAACTGGTTGTTGAAACGTAAGTTCTTTAAGTCATTTTTTAGAACAACTGTCTAAATATTAACAGACTTAAGAAAGTGTTAGAACCAACTTATTCTCCACCCTTACTCCTCACTACATCTGAAGGAAAATAATGATAATAGCAGTGCCCACTCTAGTAATTTATTTATTTTCTTGGTGTACTTATCAGTATTTTTTATTGCTTAGATTATACAGTGCCATATGGTAGAATGAATAAGTAATTAATTGGAAAATATGTGGAAGGAAGTGGTTGTAACCTAGTTTAAGGTACCCTCCTGGCATTTACCTAGAGGAACTGCAAAAAAAAAATATATAAAAAAACCCTCAGTCTGGATGGCAAGTTTCTGGGACTGAGATTCGAATATCTCCTAAATACAGAAACAAGTATTAACCACATGAAATAATTGCATGAAGGATATGTTAAGTCTCCATTAATCAGGATGCTTGTAATTACAGGTATATTTGGCCAGATACATCCATAAATATTATTAAAAGTGTGGGAGCGTCGTCAAATCTGACATTAGGTTACGAAACTTCCCTCTTGATGTTCCTACATCATTACATTGTGATGGTCCTGCACATTTGGTGCGTTTGATTTTTGTAGGTGTGACATGCTGTTAGTGTTCATGTATGTAACAGAAAGATTTGTAGATAATAACAGCTGTTAGTTGATTAAGATGTCACCCTTGAAGTTATGTGCATGTGAACATGAACACATTTCAGCGTGCTGTAACAAATGACATGGGTTCAAGGAGTTGAATTTGTCTCTGATTAGATCTGTTGATTTGTAACTTTTAGCATTGCTTTTATGATTAATATTCTTTTTGTGTTATTATATTTTCAAAGAAACCCCCCTCCAAATAAAAATGTAGGTAATATAAGGTAAGTTGGCTGTTAGTGTACATTCAACCTCAGCGGTGTCACTCAGACCCCCTGGATTTTAGATATTTGGATAGTTTTCATTCCCATGGTTGTTTCACGAGGTTTGTGTAAACTTTCTGTTTTGTGACAAATTTATTGACATGCAAAAGAGTTCATTGGTGTTGGTCAAATTGCTGCTTGCTTGTCAGGGAGGCAGGTCCGTTGATGCTGTCCCCCACTGGTCAGTTCATTGTGCCTGCATCATGCCCAGCATTTCTTCTTGTCGCATTCGTAAGCGAGAATTTAGATGAGGCCTCTCGGCTACTTCGGCGCTATAAGAGGTGAGGACATTTCTAGAGCTGCAGTGTTAATGTTGGTAAATTGTATTCATTAGCTGTATATTACTTCTGTCCCAACCAGATGATAGGCTTGCCCACAGCATAATGCAAGCTTGAAAACAAGTTCGTTCCCAGTTCAAACTTTGTGACGTGTTGTTAAAAACATTTCAGTAACAAACATGTGGAACGTGATCTTCATCAGCGTTGTGTGGAGGAATTTGACTTGGCAGCTCTGCAGAAAGATGACAACATCACACCCGATCTGATGATCGAATGCTGCGGTCACCTTTTAAGGCACAAGACGATATTGTCTCCCTCACTGAAGGGAGTCCATTTATGGGTAACAAATTATTATTCAGTTCTCTCAGATGGAGAGATGTGCATTCCATGGAATTGGAAGCTCTAGCCTAAATACTCGGCACAAACATTAACTAGTCTTTTTACAAGTATTAACACAGACCGAACAAGTCATTTACTTTACCCAAACGCTTAGGTTAGTTTCTTATTGCCATTATATATTGAATACTGAAATTATGACCACATGTGCCATGTAGTAGGAAGTTTTGCATAATATTAAATATAATTTTTTGTTAATCATTATGAGAGGTGGTCAGTTTCTTTATGGAGAGTCAGAAGACACTGAAATATGTCCGTGCATTGCTCTGACAAAACACATCAGAAATTAAATATGTGAGCTACATGTTTAAAGGAGTCTCAGTGTGTGGCAGTACCCAGCGTTTGACAATTCAGAAGGGAAACTCTTGTTTATTAGTAATCTCAGTGAGATTGACATTCGTAACTGATAATTGTATCTAGTCTGTCTTTTAAAATGTAGGAAGGAATCTCTTGAAGTGTCTGTATGGCTGCTTGTAAAAAGACGGCACTTGAGGGTAATGGGTGCAGTGCAGTGTGTTGTAATTTATCTTCATTTTGAATCTGTTACAAAATATTTTCCTCTGTCAGTTTATGAGAATTGTGATTGTTTACACTACTAACTGGATTGTTTACTTGTGTGGAGCTGAGCTTTGTAAGATTAAAGATTGTACGGTATTTTAGAATTACTGTGTTCTGCAGGTGACTATTTTTGACTGTTAATATAATGACTGTTTACCATTATTCATCTCCCATTTCCCTCTTTCCAGAAAATACACGTATTTCTGTATTCAGAGCACAAAAGTATGGATATTCAAGAAAAAGGGGCTCTCTAGAAATGTCCTCATTGCAAGATGAAAACAAATACGGAACATTACTTGGAGATTGTGATGGACAGATGTGTTTAAATCAACGTTGATCTCGGCCAAAGACCAGCTACCCTCGCTGATATTTTGTTTGGTTCCTCCTGGTAAATGCCAACAAAATACCTTGAAGCATCTCCAGAAGTATTCCTGAGTTCCATTTGTGTTTATTTACTGGAACATGTGACAGGTACCAGGGTGTGTAACAGGAGTTATGGATTGTGTGCTGTCACTAGTGGCAGCATCACAAGACAGTTCTGAACAAGATGGCATCACAAAAGAACAGATTTTGTTTTCACTGAAAAGATTTTCTGTTGAAATTTAGTTACGTATTTTGCCATATAGTGATAAAGAAACTGAGCAGGTAAGCTGTGAGGTGTAATGATCTAAGGTACATTTCTCTTCTTTCTAGACTGATACTAAGGGTGCATGTAATGATTAGATACTTTTAAAATTATCAATAAACGTTATCAATTAGATCACATTAGATTGCAATGTACTTGTGTTTAGCTAAACAGAAATACACATAAAAGTAATGACAATCACTAGCATTAAATGAATATAAGAGTACTTTCATTCTGTAAAGTAATTTTTACGTTTCAGAACATGTTTATGCAGGGAAACTACGCTGCTTGGAAGAGGAGATGATGAAGCATGCGGTAATGGCATACAGAAAGGTGAGGCAGTTTTTGGTAATGCTTTTGACAACTACAATTTAGATTCGCCCTGATGACGGAGGCAGTATGACCTCTGAAACGTTGGTTAACATCGACCAGACTACACAGCGCAATAACCCAGAAGACGGATATCTTCATACTCACCGCTGTGAGAACCTCAAGTCTTACATACAATTTAGATGCTATTGGTGCTTTTAAGACAGATGAAACTGCTTTGTCTATTGTCCATAAACTACAGAAGGTTTAGCCCTATGTGAGGAACATCGGATTGGAGGCGTTATTAGTGGGGGGGGGGGGGAGACTCTATATGTGTGCGCTGTATGAATGCAGCAGGGAGCGATGTTTGTTCAACAAATGCTCATTTTCAAGACACTTTTATTTAAGTATGAACTTATCATTAAGACTTCTGAATGACAAACTTTTCTGCAGTGAAGGTGAAAGTTAACCAACTAAGGAAGTTATATCGTCTTCATGCAGTGCAATGACGAGCATTATCCCAGCGCCAGTGATAATTCCAGCCAGCTGGATTGTTACATCTAGAAAGCCTCGAGAATTTTTGGAGGCATTTTTCATTTCTGGGACCTGTAACATGCCAAGTGGAATAATATTGTATTTGTTGTAATTTTGGTCGAAAGAGTGCTGAAGTAAAATATTTTTGAATGAAGAACTTGTAACATCTCAATGTGTATACTTACTAAATCTACAAGACTGATGTAGAGGAATGCTCCTGCTGTAAAAGCATATATCCACATTGATGCAGCCTCATATTCGCCAATCCACACCCCGGCGGCCATTCCGACGAAGCTCAGCACCGAGGAAACGATGTTGTAGACTATTGCTTTTTGTATGCTCATTCCCGCTTGTAACAGTACTGCAAAATCTCCTGTTGGGTAATGAGAATTTATTTCAGTCGGTACATTAGCAAATCTTCATGACAGTTTTGTATCTGCCACTTCATAGTATGAAAGTCGAGTGCAAAGACCACGCAATGGCCGGGCTGGGAGCGTATTCTGTGTGTGGTGTGGTAGCGGGACTACCTTAGTTTACTTTTAGAATTATTGTGAATGATGAATTGGAAGGAATGTGGGAAAAAGAGGGACCCAAAATAATTTAGGTTTGTCACCACTTTCTTGTTCTGTCAGCAAAGAGGTTTGTTAGTTGAAGAGATCATACCTAATTCATGGGGTAATTCATGACAGAGGACAGCTATTGCTGTTGCAAAGCCAGCAACTGTATCTCCATTGAATGCCGCGCCAACTGCCAAACCGTCGGTTAGGTTATGCAGACCGTCGCCCATGATGACCATCCAGGCCACGGAACCCTGAGACCAGTGTTGATGGCCGTGCTGGCAACTTGCCTCCACGGCCTCTGCATCTGAAACATGCATCTCAGTGGCATGTTTATCACTGAATAATACACAACTGTGTTTCATTACATTTTGAGATCATGTTTGAAGTGCTATTACAAACCACCGTAACCTACAGTGTGCTCACATTCTCAACATATTTCAATCAAGGAAGTTAGTGGCAAATAAAGGCCAGCAGTTTGTACTGGAAATATGACAGGACAAGAGTGTGTGGAAAATTGTGTGTGAGTAGGCTCCTGACATATCCTGAAGACACCAAGATTCGTCAGGTCTGGTAGCAATCTCTTGCAGAATGATGGTCACTCAACGTAGTTTTCCCTTGACTGTACAGATTCTGCGACAAACTAAAAACCTCTGATACTTTTCTGCCAGAAATAAATTGCACTTTCTCTCAACTGTGCCACTTCCAGAAATTTCTTTTAATTTTTTCTTTGGGGGGGGGGGGGG